AAGCGCAGGCCTGAGATTAGATCAGGTCCAGATCAGCTTGTTATTCAATACACCTTACACCATAATGAGCAGAGGCAAATCCAGGGCTATCTGTTAGGAGGAGGGGGAGACGAAAAGAGGGATGGAAGGGTAAGAAAGGGGAAAGTAAGGCTCCTGGGAGAGGGGAGGGAAGGGGAAGCACCGGGGGTGTGAAAGAGAGTTTTCTACAGTTTTAACACTGCTACCTTTGTGACAAGATTAGGGCTGAGTTTGAAATATTTGAGTTGTACTTGAATAGGGGACATTCTCCCAAAATTTCAGCTTTCTAACTTTCCTCATAACCGAGTTATCAATTTTCCCTCTAGAAATTTCGTAAGGGGAGGAGGGGTAAGACCCGTTGTCCCCCCTCCTCGGATCCGTCTAAGGAAGTGAGGTTCTAAATGTGCCAGTTGTTGTGTAGCAGAAAACTACGTGGCATGCGAGCCAGTAATGACCGGGACCTGTAGGACGACTTACTTTATTAACAATACAACAGTAACAGTAAAACATTCCTTATTAATGAAGATCACAAGTATCAACCTAGAATCGGAGGCTTGGCGCGTGCCTCCCTACAGATATAACTTCATACAGATATGTGCACTACCTAACAATGTGAGTATTGGGGATGATTTACAGCCGTCGTTTACGCATGATTATATTATATACGCATTTTCTTTTAAAGTACCTATATAACATAATTATATGTAAGGGATGGTTGCAAAATGATGTAACAGGATCACAAATCTGTGTCTATTGCAGAAGTGAGTGGAAAGGGGAGAACTTTGGGTAATCAAGAATGTTTTTGCGGCTATGCAATGTGTACAACGCACAGGAATGCCCCTCCCCCCTCCCTGATTGTGCTTGCTGTTTCGTTGTTTACTGCAACATACCTCCGGAAGTAGGGCATTTCTTCTCCATCTCAGCCACAGTTCTTCGTCGCTCCCTCCACAACTGGGTAACGCACTCGGGGTCCCCACTTCCAGCAGTATACTATATGCAGTAGTACAGAAAACATATTCGCTCTCAGCTTTACCGAAGCAGCAAATTTACAAATGCGGAGGTCCCCTAGTGACGGTGGATTTTTATGCGTTTTTGCCGTGCAGCACTAAAAAATGCATTCGGTGCAACGTATAAATAAGTAATCAAATAAAAATGGGTCTCACGTAGTAGGTGGCAGGTGATCGTCGTGGTGGTGGCGACCAGTATCGTGATAGCGGTATCAGTCCGGCATCTTCGCTGCGCTGCTGGCGTCTGACAGCTTTCTCGCGAGCTATCTCCATTGCTCTCAGTGAGGCCGGCGTCGACATGACTGCGCAATCCCAGCAGATCCCTCTCTCCGAGAACCGATGAGCT